GTTGGGGGGATGTAAGTGTCTSCAAGTCTCTTTCAAAAAAAACCCCTCAAAGCCATTAAAGACCCTCCAACACACAAAAGAACTGAGAAAAAAAAAACTGCTGTAAATTAGCTGGGCAATGAGGAGCACTCACCCTCTAGGTACTTTCACTGAAAAATATATCATGTCCCTACTTTGAAGTATGGAATTGCCAGCTACCCTTTTGGTAACAGAGCTAMACTRCTTACTAAATACAGTGAAGACTGGCTGCAACATTAATTAGATTCGATTAATAAAAATCAACACTATTACAGGAAAACAAAGATTATTTTTTAATGTCAAACTTTTTACAGGAGATAATTCACAACATAAAATACCAACAACAGCAGATCAAGCAATAAGTTCCTCAAGGGAACAGATGCAATGTTTACACTTATGAAAACCTATTATTATGAAACAGGAAAAAAACCTTAATTTCACATAAACAGAAAAAAAAATTAGGTTAGACACACAGGTTACCTTTATCATGGATAGAATACAGCATTTAYTCTAATTATAAAATTCACAAAAGAAAACACAGCATTATGTGAAGCACTTACACGAAGCAACRATGGACATACATCACGGTTAAGCACTACTGGCTTCCCTCAGACCTACATAGACAAGGTAAGATGGAAAACATAGGATTCTTCCAGGATCATTTCCTCCTGCTCAGGAGCCTGGAGTCATAAGAGAGTCTGCAACACCTGGACTTGCAAATGTTATGCAGGGATTTGGAGACATTGAACTGTCAGCAGCCCTGTAAATGCAGCCCTGCCAGAGACAGCAGGAGCTCCCTATCGAACCACACTGAGGTGTATCTGGCTTCCTCTGTCAGAACTTTTCTTCAGCTTTTATTCAATTTAGCTGTGACAGCCGCTTTTCTAACWGATCAGATGCCGTTTACCTTAGTGTGATATAAACCTCTATTTATACTCCACAGAAAGAGGAATTTACAATAACGTTGAAAAATACTGGATGCAGTACACAGGACAGATATGGGAGAAGAGACAGGACACAGCCTTTCCACAGGGACACCCCACAGCTAAAAAACTCATTAATGGACAGTTAACAAAATGCAAATCTGTGGCTGGACAAATCTGGCTTTTGGAGTAACAAAAGGGCACCATATATAGTAAATTCAGACAATCTGGAGCTTTAGATCAATGAAGGAAGAAAAGAGGAGTAAAAGTATATTAGCAAAGATACCAAGAAAACTCAAGTGGATCCYAGAGGAAGGAAGARAAAASAGGYAACATCAACATCGCACTCCTCYYAACAAATGATTCCTASGGCTGACAATCTCCATTATCCTTTCCAGCAGTCCAACACTGCTGACAAAGACCCAGAGCAGCAATGRAAAGGTGAATACAACTCTCAGAGAAGGGACAGAAATCAAAAAGTCTGYGTGTTACAGTTTTAACTGTATTTGGCAACGTCTTCCTGTACCTAACTGCCACATTCTTCTTAGAACCATTAATCRGTCGTTGGTAAAGAAAAATTTAGTCACACTGTTAAGATTTCCTTTACCCCAACAATAAATTCTTGGTTTTACTTGCACGCATGTTACTTTCACAAACAACACATGCATAAGAGGTACTTCCTCTCTGCCCATAAACAAGAACATAACATGGATGGAGTCTYGCATTCCTCCYAGTTTGCAACTTGGAAGAGCATTGTTGTCTTTAAAGTGTTACGGGAAAATTACAATARAACAACAAGGTTTGAAACAGCYCCAGGAAAAGCAACCRAATAGGTCACCWGTTCCCTGCCCTGAGAGGGAACTCTGTGCTGGGGTGACCTGTCAGTGTTGTTTTGTACCTAAGGGCCTTTTATACACATATACACACACACACACACATACAACAGCACCTAAACACAAAACACTGAACCAGGCACTCACTGTCTGTGCTTTGTTTGCAGCAAGAATCTCTAGATATCATAGAAGACACTCCATTCCTTTAAGRAACCCTAAGAAAAGGAAGGAAACATGGCTGAGTCGATAAGCCTTCACAATCTTAAGAGTAGGAAGGGTAGGAATTTCAGTTGATTTCCTGGACAAGGGCCCAGACAGGAGGAACAYGAGCAGAAAGCAAGAACTGGGTCAGCAAACTACTGAATAGTTATTTGTCCTGGTTTTCAAATACTCACTGAAGGTACGCTAGCGGGAGTCCAACTGCATCTGTAAGGGGTGTTAATACACATAGAACTGCTCAGATAAATTATTCTGGAAAGAAGAAAAAATACCTCATGCTTAAACACCTATGTAAAAAAACCTACTGTCCATGGAGTTGACAGGAAATAAAGGATGTCATTCTAGGGTAAGTTTGCCCTCTCCATCAGAAAAATAAGCTAGCTAATGTAATTTTGATGCAAAGACAATCTACCATACCCATGGTTGTTACCAAGATGCAACACAGCTCTTGAGATTCACCTGATGTGCACAGATGGACAGAAGACACAGGCCAAGCTTCTCAGCAGAGACTGAGTGCTACATACAGAAGCCAGCCACTAATTTGTATGCCAAAGATGTACTCAGCTGAGTGCTCCAGCTGAGAACTCCATACAGGGGGTCTGATCTGAACAGAGCAAAAGCACCGCCTTAGCCACTTGTATCCCCAGCTACACTATTAGGGAAAGCATGAAAGGTTCTTCCACWATTGACAGCACAGTAGTGGCAGGCATGATTTTGGGAAAAAAGTAGACAAAGTCAATAACCAGTGCTGTGAATTTAATACATTAGAAGAAGCAAAAGCAAAACCTCAGAGGACAATCGACCCACCCAGATAACCACGCACGTCCTGACCTCTGTAGATAAGCAAGCAGCTGTAGCCTAAGTAAACAAGTAAGATGTGAAACGAGTCTCGAATTTATGAAATACAAAATTCGATATCTATTTTTAACATGCRCTAGTTAATCTGTAATAGTTCGTAAGTTTTACATAACATTTTACACATTTACTAAATTACTTGAGAGAGGGTTTCCTTTGTGATAGGAAAGCTTTACGTAAAACCAGAGGTGACCACTCAAAATAGCAGTTAAGATTTCAACACAGAACAAGGTTTCCTAATCTTCGTGTCTACAACAGCACCACCCCAAAAAAATGACAAGAAAACATGAAGATACCAACTACTGCCCATCAACCAAGCTAAGGTCACAAACAGCAGATCAGCTTAGGTGACCTCAAACCTAAAAAAGTCATTTTAGACACAGCAATAGGTAAATCTTGCTACTGGATGAGGACTCACAGGATAAGGGAAAATGGACAAACATCCAGAGTAAATCCATCAAAGGGTATTAAGCACATGAAGACACCTTTAGCTCTAGAAACCTCTGAATACCAATGCATGCCTGTGTTATGTTGCTTGTGCATTCATGCTTAGAAGCTATTTTCTTCCTTAGGGGATGGTCACTAAAAACCTTGAGAGKTCTCTCTGAGGAAGGATAGAAAAGGGCTTAATAAATAGATACAAACTAGAACAGGAAGGAAGTCAAATTATTACAATACAGAAAATTAAAYGCTCCAAAGAAGAAAAGATGAAGGCTGAAACAGAAAATTTCCTAGGGACACCAGGCAAAGCACCCAAAGAATACCAGTAACTCCCCAAAGGTATCCAAGAAGCCAACAGGCATTACCCTGAGAGGCTCTGGCCAGTGACTTACAYAAGAGAACAAGGGGAAAGATAAACCCTACAGCTGCCAAGTTTCCTCCTTCTCCCCTGACTGGTCAGCTCAGCTGGTACTGGTGGGTGGTCCTGCAACTTGGCAGGACTCAAAGGGTATAAATAGAAAGGTCAGGGACAGAGCACAGTCAAAGGCTCAGAAAGAGGTGCTGCAAACTGGCACATTTGGCATGTGCATGTCAGGATTTCATCCTGCAGCAAGGGACACACGAGTGAACCATGCCATGAGCACACCCAGGGCACATCTCACACACTCCCCACCACCTCAGCACCAGTGACACACACAACATGCAGAACACACCCAGCCCAAAGCTTCTTGGTCTCTCTGCTTCAGGGAGGTCGTGTCACTTTGTGCATGGGTGACACACAGGGGCAGGAAAACTGAGCAAGTGAGGCACAAGAACATAAACATGTTTCTGCAGCAGAGCTTGGTGGGACATAGGGTGAATGTCACACAGCCTGCTTGGATGACACACAAGAGGGTACTCAAGAGAGTCTCAGAGGGCAGAAGCCTAAGCAGCAACTCCACAATGAAGGCAGAATCGTGAGCCAGAGGGATTTCTAGTTTTACTAGTTTATGTTACAGATTCCTGGATTTTCAAGTTTTGATAGAATTAATTTGGGTTTTTTTTTCCCAGAGATTTAAAGAAATCAAAATTCTCACTGTGCCCCAGTATTTGTTCTTACATACCGATGAGATAAAATCTATCAACCACTATGATTTTTAACTTCTTTCAGGGGTAGTGTTTAAACTGCCACATGGCAATTTGATGTCACTGATTTGCACTAATAAAAGTCAGAACAGTAAAACCAAAGGGAAAAAAATCCCCTAAACAAACCCTTCCCCCTTACACAAAAAAGGGCACCCCAAACTCAAAACTGAAAAACAAACAAACAAAATAAACCCTTTTAAAAAACCCCAATCCTATTAATTACTTGATTCATTGCTACAGTTTTCCTCCTGAAGGTGAAAAGAATGACATCTTCCAGTCCTGCCTCTGACTGGTTTATATTCTCCTGCACCTCACCTCAACAATCAACTCCAATTTGGAAGCCACCCCTGTCACACTGTCACCTTCTTACAGAAACACACAAATTTCTTGTAAGCCTCATTTCTGAGAAATACAACACAAAACAATGAAATAAACAGATCTTGTCCCTTCCACATGGGGTAACAAACAGCAGTTATCTTAACCACTAAATTTTCCCCACCACACCAAGTATTCCTAACTCTAGGAATTATTACTGCTCTCTGACAACTGTGCTACCTACRAGGAAGCACAGATCCATTTCTCTCACCTCAAATTCCTCACTGGTTCTTGATGTTTGTATTCAAGCTTGAGAAGGTTACAGTCCAAGATTCCTACAAGAAAGATGTGTAATCAGCATGAAGGCTATTTCTCCAAGAAAACTAAAAACTAGATAATAAATTTACACAGAGAGGGAAAAAATCCAAAGAGTACATGTCCTACACAGCAGCTTGTAAACATTTACATCACACTGGATGACAAAAAGCATGCATTCATTCATGACATCCTTCCATTTTTGTGGGCTCACTCATCCAGATAACTTTAACTTAAACTTCACATAGTTACAGCTAAATTGCATAAAGATGCATCASCACAGAAGTGAGGAAAGCAGGAAATTTTCAACCATCTCCACTATATTATTCTCTACAAAATGTTCAACTCAACTCCAGATACCGTATCTTATCCAAACTCTCTGCTTAACAGATCACTGCCCCAGTACTTGCTAAAGCTGATTTATTACTGTTAAATACATTAATCTGCATGTTAATCTGCCTCAGGTCACTTGAAGTTAGTGAAAAKGGACCTTTGTCAAGCTATATAAAATGTTGCTTTTGGTCCACATGGGAGTTTTGAAATCAGAGCTTGGGAGAGATCCTCTATGACATAAATATTACAGCATGAAAACAGAAAGGAATGCAGAAGACTTTTCTTGTAATCCATTTCCATTTTCTCTGCTTCACTTCATAGCATGTTGTTAMAGCCTAAAAATTTCCCTAAATGAAGGCTGAGTTTATCTTAGGATCCTGTGTTGCTGGAGTTGTAAAGCACCAGCATGACAGCTTCAATCTGACAGTCATTGCACTCCAGAGGAGGAGGGAAGGCTTGTAATTTATACAACCTACTTCATCCATACTGCAAGTAGTACACAAGACAGAAAATCTGGCTCCAACATTACACATACTRCATTATGTACTGTTAAGTGCTGGTAATAYTTCTATACAAAGTCTTACAGTTTAAAACCTCCCCAGTAGTATGGTGTCCTTATTCAATATTTCCAATAGAAAGCAGAAATGGTTTACCTAGCAGACCACTTGCTTCCYAATATAATCAATTCTCTAGACAACTTACCAGATGATCCAAGATTTTCAGTACAAACAAATCAAAAGTTCAGTGATGARTAAAGACTGTTGGGCAATCCCTGAAGAGAAGCAGTTTCAACACACACATCCTGCATATTTACTTAGCAACTGGATCACCACAACCAGCACAATATGCTGGTACTGGTCCATTACCTGTCACATCCCATGAAGAAGCAGTCTCGGATGCAAGCAGCAGTAATGAGTATATTCCCCACCTTTCCTTTTTATGTTTGCCTAGTAATTAATTTTAAGTGCCAGTAATTCTCAATTGCTCCATCATTTGCATGACTAAATGCCATTCTACGGCAGGAATTATGCGACTATGCTTTGGTCAACCCCAAATACCACCACTGTTACCTGTGACTCTGAATGTTGTAACAAATAACATGCTTGTGAACTGTACATTTATTACAAAGACATTACTTCCATTACTGTCCAATTGACGAGTATTTCAAGCTCAATTCAGCTTGAAATGAGAAAGTGTTACCTCAAAACAGGATCCTCAAGGAGGAAGCACTGAGCTTTAAGGAAGTTTTAATGTCTACATGTGATAGTCTGTTAWAATGCAATGCAATTTCAGGTGGTAGTACAAGAACTTCTGAACACATCATACTTACTGCTAAAAGAACAGGAATGTGGAATTGTACCTTTTCAAGGATGGCCTTAGCCTACACAAAACACTCATGTGAGTCTTGCAGGCAGATAAGCCCTCAGGCACTTGTATAATAATGAACTATTGAAGCAGAGCCAAGACATGAGTTTTCAGAGGAAAACAGTCATGGGTTCTGCGATCATGCTTTGTTTCTCACAATGACTTTACTGTGATGTGTAACAAGGGGCTGTTTGATCCAGTTAACTGATACAGAAGAAGTCAGCTGGAAAGGGCTTACACGAAGGAATGAAAAACCAATGTGTCTCTGAGAGCATCTTGTWCCACCTTCCAACAGCGTTTTAAGATTCTGCTGCTCCCAACCCAATGCGTGCCCTGCTTACCCACAGCCCTGCAGAGCCGTCCTGCTACATCAACCCTGACCTTATCTGAGTATTTGAAGATTTTGGAGTATCATCTCCGACAGTCTTGTACATCATCTATCTTTCCCCACACTGACCCGTGTCCTGGAGTCCTTCCAAATCAGTTGACACAACTGGCATTTTCAACAGCATCACGCGCTGCTTGGATGTTTGGGACAGAAACATTTATGCCAGGGCTCTGAAACTTGGTCAGCTTCTCTTGCTGTCTATTAAGGACAAGCTTAATTTGAAATTGAGTTTGCCTTCAAGGCATAATACATCCTACCCTTAAACTCTAGAACATAGGTTCAGACCAAATTAGAAGAGTTTTATAGACAAAGTGACAAAAACAAATAGACAGCTCCCAAATTACTTTAGCAACAAGTCACTTCCTCCTAAATCAAACATTCCTTTTGTAACCCAGAAAATTTTAACATTTCATTGCTGATCACCTTTTTCTACATTCCTGGTTGATATACGAACATCAGAACAAACACCTATGAAAAATCCTAATAGAGARAAAGGAGGCTTTAGCAAATTATACTCTATTTCTGAAGGATTATCTAAAAAGAGAATAAATAAATGGTATATACTTATATTTAAATCATACTATTTGTATTTAAATTTAGTATTCTTTTTCTATACTAAAATGTCTTTGAAAATTGCCCATTGAGAAATACCTTACAAATCAAGTCTAAGCTACCTAGCAACTTCCCTCCCTGCATTAGTGAAGCTTGCAAAAAGGAAAGGATTTTTATAAGACATCTATTATTGAACTATTTCTGTAATGCTGCAGATTTCACATGGTTGCCAATTATTAAAACGTCATAGCAGGAAGTCAAAGAGCGTTTGCACTTAATCATGGACATTAAGATAACCATGACACAAGCCTTTTTCAGCATCTTCCTTCTAGCTTGGAATATGTAAAGGTCAGAAAACCACTAAGTAAAGCTTCTGTTGACTTTGTTATGCTTTTCTCAACTCTCAGAACACTCACCTCATAAAATGATCCATTTTGTTCCCCACTGAAGGTACAGCGGGCAGAAAGCCAATAGTTGGCACTTGGTCACATAGCTACTTTAATAAAAAATATGAATAAGCTCTTACTTTTATTTCTACAGTCATGTTCCATTAAAACAAAAAACTATTTGCCAAAAAGATTAAGATTCTGAACAGCAGAACATTGCTGTTACCAGCCTTGCAATGCCATATGCCATTCTAGGGAATACAAAGACACACAAATAATTCCTAAACTAACACAATTTGCAAAGCACATTGTTTTCTACAAGCAAATTCACTGTATCATCTCACAACGTCTGAAAGTACCAGACTGCACCACCACTAACTTACCTCCCCTGCTTTAGTATTTGTCTAAGTAATACATGCCCACAAATTCCACCAGCCATGGAGACCAACACATAAATTAAAGCATTAGGAAGAAAAACAGAAAAAGTAAATCCTTCAGTTTACACCAGGGAATGGCAACTGCTAAATTTCAGGAGCAGCCCACCAGAAAATGAAGTACAGTGTTCTTGATGACAAAAGCATACCTAACTGTCAGTTGAGAGATGCTGAAATGCATGTGGCTCTTCAACCCAAGTCCTACTAGCCATCCATTTCCTTGTTTCAAATGCTAGAATCCCTTTCCCTGCACCTAAAAGCCTCCCAGGACTCTCAGGACTGAGAGCACAGTARGTCTCAGCTACGCTTATCTTTGCACTGCAGGGCTTTTTCAAACAGCTCCCACTGCTATCCGGGACACAGAGATTTATTTCCCGTACAAGCAGGAGTTARAGATTAACCTAAGGAATTTTACCACCAACTTAAGGAATTTTACCATTCAGATTTAATCTAAGTTGGTATTTGCTCTCCAAAAGGGAGAGCAACTATTCAASTATCCAAATAATAATAATTCATTAATATCAAATATTCAACTATTCCATTTCCACCACAAGGTCTGCATTTTACAAACTACAGAAACAATATACAGACATATGTGATCTTGAATCCTCAACATGGTTACACGTCCCAAAATCTASTATCACCCACCAAGTAATTTGCCCAAGAAATCAGAGGATCACAAATAAGTGCCTTTAATGAAGTCTGCAGAATTTACTGAAGAAAATATTTCACACAGCAGGAAGGCCCATGGCTTCTTCCCTCCAGGAACAGCCTGTTATTCGAATATCCATAAACATCCAATTTACTAACACACACTTATGACAACATTTTGAGAAAAATCAAACYTGACAAGTAAAAAACATCCATCACTAAGGAGCTAAAACAGGAACCTCGCCAAAATGCTGTCATTAAAACAGAAAAGCTCACTAAAGGCAGCTACTAGCCAAACTACCCTTATCTAGAAGTCATAGAAGTGGCTTCACACATCCAGCCATCTCYCAAAAAATGCCATAACACATAAACTGTCATCCTCTAGACCTAAATAGAGCAGTACAATTGACCCTGGCTTCAAACAAGGAACGGCAGTCTGCAATCCTCTAAGCAGATGGAACCAAACATGTCGGGGGGGAAAAGAGCATTTAATTTGGTTAAGAAGAGAAGGAGGAAAACTGGATGAACAGATATGAGAAATGGCTTTGGTGCACTTGTGATAAGGCAGCCTAAAGACACCTTATCTTTGAATATATGCAGATGATCATAGATACCCTTGGAAAAACAAAAATTCACTTTGGCAGACAGCTAAAGTCCTACAGGACCCCTTCAAACCCCATTGTAACATTAGAACATCTGTATCTGGTGTAAGTCTGGTTTTCACCATTTCATGAGAAACAGGAACGCTTAACATTTTGAGATAAAATATTAGCAGAAAGAAGAGAACAAAACAGGGCAAAAAAAAAAAGGAAGTAGCCTTTCCTGTAGCAGGTCTCAACAGAAGTTTGCAATGTACTTAGATGTGCTGGCAGAACACTGAAACAGCCACTCTGAGTATTCAGATATGACTTTCAGCCCATTCTGCAATTGTGTACTCTTGCCTACTGCTGTCTAAAGGTACCTCAGCGCCAATGATTATAGCTCTGCCTGTTCCAACACTTTCCTCCTGTAAATAGTGCCTGACTATTTTCTGTTCTCACAAGGGCTTAATTAGTCCTGTTCACAGTGCTACAGCAGCTGGCACATCCCAGCAGATTCCATTGCATTTTCACAGCTATTGAAATCYATCTGAACCATGCACCAAATTTTTCTACACTGACAATTATGTGTCCTGTATGTATGCCTATACATTTGAAGACATCTTTCTGCATTCAGTTTAATCACACGATAGACCTGAGAAGTCCCAAAATCACTGATATACACATACAGTTCACAAAAGCCCAAAGAATCCTGCCTGGTCGGAAAAAAGAGACCCTGTCCTCCACTAACAGAGCAGCAGAAATCTGCAGCTCCAGAATACATGAGTAATCATGTTAGATCCAAAGGCAAAATGCTATTAGACATATAATATTTGCTTTTCATATTTCTAAGCACCTTAATTTTGCCAACTCACTTCAAGTTCTTTGCTCTTTCTCAAATCAAGCAGCAACAGCATAAGCTGTGTTACCTCCTTTCCTGAGAGACACTGCCTGCCTRTCACACCAGCTGCCACATCCCAACACGGAGAACAGCCCTCTGGAAACAAAGTCTGTCACCGTGTCCTGGAAGGAAACCTTGAGGTTCATCATCAAACTGGACTAAGATAAAGATGATATTTTTATGTCAAACAATTGAGACAAACTTTCCAGAAAAATGGAAATTTTCTGGGCAAATAATCCCTGGGCAAGTTCAGTTACATGATGGGAAAAGTATGAATCTCTCACTCCACAACACAGAAGGCAGAAGGTTGTTCTCTTCAAAGCCCTGTAACAGGAACAATCTGAAAACAACTCACCTYCTGCTTCTTACTAGTTTACAAACTGAGCTGCAGCACCCTACTTCAAAAGTCAAATGTTCCAGTAGYGAGAGCACAGTCAAATAAACAAATGAAAKTTAAACAKGTTTTCAGAAATCARTTTCCTGAAGAATCAGTACTGGTAACKTATTTGTCTCCATAGCCTTAATTTTTGAAAACCAGTTTCTTTTGCTCAACTTGTCTTGACAAACATGGTGCTTTAAAAAGCACAGGCATTCACCATGTCAAGCACAACCAGCTGAAAAACGTCATGTAAAAGGTCAAGGCATTTAAAAYAAGATCTATCAGAAGACAATACAGTTTAAAGTAACAATCCTCCCCTTAAACACTGTCCCAAATACTTCTTCATAATCACCACCATTATCTTGTGTAACGTCTTTTCAAATCTACCAACACCGTCTGTCAGAAAATTCACTGTATGACTCAGACAGACACTTTCAAATCATAAATACTCAAAACTCGTATTTCCATTTCAGAACTACTTYTGTTCAAAGATTTGAATTGCTGATGGCATAATAATCCAACGACCTCCTGAAGTTTTCTTATCAAGATTTTCCTCACGCACAAACAGCATCTCCACTGATGAAAGCAAGCCTTGTTACTTTGCATMGTGTCTTGGACAATATGGTTATGCAATCCAAAACCTGTACTTGCAAAGTTTTTAGTGCCTAATATTGAGTATCTTTTGTACATGAATGCTTGACACAGCTCCTTGAACATGCAACTGAAGACATGAGATAAGAGCAGAGATCCACGCATTAAAATCACTGGCATTACATGCCCTGCCAATTCCCATTAATTTTCCTTCATCACAGATCTACAGAAACGCTTGCCTAGAGCAAGCACAGGCTTTCCAAAGCCCAGCCTTTTAATCTGGTATCCAGGAGTGAGGCTTCAAGTCTGAATCTCATCCACATYGCCAAAACCACTGGTCACTAGCCACTTGGACAAACTGGCAGCAATGTCACCAGTTCAACATATACCAGTTCAACAGCACTGATCCAACTCCATCGGTTTAAAGGCTGGGGTAAGGTAAGGGAGTGATGGAAAGCCCCTTATGTCTGGCTCTCTTATCTCGTTAACATTTATCTTGTTAAAGACAATTTAAGCTCCTATACCCATCACATTTAAAATCTGCATTTGAGAATATACATACAATAYGTAAGACTCAGTTGAAGAAATTTTCACCATGAAAGGTTTTGCTTTAAGAACTGAGCCAAAAATACACTCTTGTCCTTCACACCACATTATGTTTTCATATTTGATTTACACTCAGAAAGCATCATTTTGAAAACCTGGGCTGAGTTGGGATGCAGCTTCTAGCTCCTCTGTCACTTATTCTGATTCAGTTTTCCACATTTGCAACTATCTTCCATGACTTTCACAGCAAAGCTGCCAAAAACCTTATTTACAACCATATTTAGTTGTCAGTCCAGACAAAGGAATCATTTCTGTGTTTTATAAACTAATCTTACACTTCCAATACAACAATGAACTTCTTTTAAGTTATCTACTAACACACACTTACAGTCTTCATATAGGTTTAAGCATCATATGATAAAGTTTACACATTATTAGTCAGTTATCCCTATAATGCAAGCACCACAGCATGAAATCTTCTTAACCGCAACATAACTTGCAACCCCACAGGAAAAGAAAAAAACAAACTCAAAACACGAACTTCCTTTCTCCTATAAACAATACTAGGTCATAGCCAAAGATAACAAGGAGAACTGGCCATCTTTTGTGACTGTGCTGCACCCATAATTCCATGRCACAACACCTACTTCTGTCGATTTTTAAAACCTATTTACCTCTTTTAGAGCAGCTACCACCAATCTGAAGTAGCCTCACTAAGGTTCTGCAGCAAACAAGCACTTGCACACTKAAATACTACAAAAAGGCCTCTGAAAGCTGAGGGTTTTTACAATACAGAGARTGCTGTGCAGCACACTGACTTTCAGAACAGATCTGTAAAGACCAGAGCCAGGATGGAACCAGAAATTCAATACTCCCCAACACTGACTACAGCAAGGGAGTGAAATCCAGAGTTTCAATTATACTGTARCACATGAACTCTTGAAACCCGGTTATGACAAGAAGGGTTTGCCCAGAGGGTCTGGCCAGTGTCATAAAACTAATTTTAAAAAAATACACAACATGGTTGTGATACACAAAACAATTCAACTGCCTGAAAAATCTCAATGCTGCACAAAGAACACAGTTTCTATATAAAAGGGGTAACATGTAAAAGCTTTTCTGCTATATGACAAATGCATGATAGTTTACATACACAAAATGATAAAGCCTGTACGACAAATAAAAATTAAAATTTAATATTAATGGTTTTCTTAAAGCAAATGCCCACACACCTACTGAAGCCACAAAATCAACTGACTTGTAAGGCTAAGACAAACACAAAAGGAAACTAACACTGCTTGAAAACCCCAGTAAAGAACAACACCTGTCATCTCCTCTTTGTCTTCCAGGTGATTACCATATGTTTAAATGTCTTTGTTGTTCATCCCAAGCAAACAAGAGATGAATACCTAATTCTCTCAAGAAAAAAAACTTTCTTTAAAAAGTTTCTTCAGATRCCAGAATATTCAAATTGTGGCTACCCTAATACCAAATATTTRTATTACATTATCTACTGTTGATAACTCCAGTRTTTACACATCTATGTACCTAAAAACATTCTGCTTGCAAAAAAAGATTCCCATATTGTGCAAGCGGAGGAATTATTATTTTTATTGCCTCTGTAAGAAGATTTCAGGCGCAGCAGCAGATTTCCCTGCCTTGACAAGCAACAAGTGCACGGAAGGCTATAAACAAGACCCACTTACGGTGCTCTTGACCCACTTAGAGAGCTCCACTGGCCTAAAGCCTCCTCCTCCTGCAGCCGGCAATTCCCAAGTGCTCCGCCGTGCCCCAGAGCGAACTCCCTGACCGCAGGCTCCGCTCGCCGCCGCCCCGGACAGCCGCCCGCAGGGCCCAAGGCCGGCCCGCCGAGGGCAGCGCCCGCCGCTCGCCCTCCCCCGGTGCCCCCGCCCCGCCGGAGCCAAGG